CCAGAATATTTGTTTGCAACAGCTTCTTAAGACAGGCATATCATCAGCCTATAAATTTAAATTAAGACTACATATATATATGTATATATATATTTATTATGTAGGTATTTTCAAGGTTAATGTTTTTAATGTTTATCTAATTTTATTTATTAATTTGCTGTAGGAAAAGTGTACTCACCAGAGAGAGAGAGAGGGACAGAGAGAGAGAAAGTGAGAAAGCAGGCCACCAGGTCCAGGACTTGAACAGCTGTCTGCTATGTGGAAGTCCAACACCTCAACTGCCATGCCACCCACTGGCTCCCAAAACTTAATAGTTTATTGCTATTCATTTTATGAGCTAAGGAATTATTTTTTCATTAGTTTCCTTTTAAAAATAATTAAAACCAAAGCTTGCTTTTCACTGTATATTCATTACTTTTAATTTCAAAAGAAAGCCTTTTCTTTTGCTCTTGGAAGTCTTCCAAGATTTTTTTTTCTAGAACTGTAATTTTTGTTTTCAACATGGTTTATTGCACGGTGTGTTAAAGTAATATACCATTTGCCTGTTTAAAAAATCTGAAAGGTCAATGTGTTCACATCTATGAAATTATTTTCCACATTATTTGCTAACTGTAAAAATGACATTGTTTCATAAAACCAATAATGGGTAAAATCTGGGGAAGCAAAGCTAGAATTAAAATAAGAAACAATATACACTGAAAAGGACTAGGATGAAATCTTTGAAGGTTCTTGTATTTTTAGGGTTCAAGGTAAAGACAAATGACTAATGGATGACTATGATGTTAAGAACACATACAAGAACGGGGTAGTCACTACAAGAATAAACTCAAAGCATACTACTAGGAAGAAGGTAAGTCAAAGAAAAAAAATTCTGTCTAAAATAAGGCAAGAAAGGAGGATAAAAGGTAAATAGAAAACAATTAACTGGTAAGAAATAAATGCAAAGATGTACATAAGAAATCACAAAAAACGAATGTGCTGAAATTTCCAGTTGAAAGACAAAAAATTGTGATTTGAAAAATAAAATCCATGGAATCAGCAGGTTGCTGGATTCCTACATGGCCAACTGCAGTTCGAGTCCTAGACCTGGCGGCTCGAAACTCATGCCAAACCTGTGTGTACATGTGTGCATACGTGCCCAAAATCCTGAGAGGAGAATGTAGAAGAAGGGACTGTGGCACAGCCATCATCCTGGGCAGTGATATCTTCCTTTCTCTCTCTCTCTCTCTCTCTCTCTCTCTGTCTGTCTCTTTGGCAGGTGAATGTGTCCTATAGCAAAAATCTCACTAAGAAAAAAAAAATCTAGCTCTATGCTATTTCCAAACTCATTTCCAAAAGGACATGACACAGTTGACACTTTAAGAGGATGAGAAAGCTGTAACAGGCAGGTATTAGCCAAAGAAAGCTGGAAATCTGTATTACAATAAAATATTTAAGGCAAAAAGTGATTACTAGGCATAGAGACTCAATAATAAAAGATGTGATTTACCAGGAAGATATATCAGTTCTAAATGTATTGATATATGTATCTAATAACATGACACTAAAATTTATAAAGCAATATAGTATTTGAAAAAAGAGACTTTTAGCTAAGATGAGGCATACACTTTTCTTTTTTCCTATTCCTCTCAATAAGTACAGCTGAAAACTCTGGAAGTAATACTTAAAACAAATATACAATTCTTAGCATAGAGATTGAAGTTACACAAGCGAGGGAGGTTGGTACTTGAAGAATAATACGGCATTCTTTTGTATTCTATATATCCTGGACTGGAGCACTAAAGAAGCCTTTAATTCAGAAATGCCAGCAGGTATAAAAAATAATAATAAAATAAAAAAAGACCAAAAAACCAAAAAGGTATATTTATTGAGAGGAATAGGGAGAAATATATTTGCTTTGCAAACTGGCTGGCAGGAACCAGCCCTTTCCTCTCCCCTCCAGTGAGGTGCTCTTAAGTCTGTAACAGCTTCTTGGTTTTTCCTTGAATTTAATGGCCTTGAAAGTTTACAGGAATAACGCTCAGGTATTCTGTCAGGTACTCCCTACTGCATTTAAAATGTATCAACTTCCACAGAATAAGCAATATAATAGCACTTGTACAACGACCAGTTTTTGGCTTTTAATATTCTCGTTAATGCTCCAGTCCAGTGATTCAGGAGATAAGATTTTAAGGACAATAACAATGAACATAATTCTGTTATCACCAAAGGAACAAGAAAGTTTCTTTTCCCATTAAAATAGAAGAAAAATTAAACACAGGAAGGGTAATTACCTCTGTGCCCTACAAGTATTTCCCTTCATGCAATTTAAAGGGGAAGTCATAATATGCCACAAATCAATGAAACAACAGCTTTAGTTAATACCTATTTTTAGGAATGGAGGCACTGACTTTATTGTTAAAGCACACTTCTACCTCAATTACTTTCAACATTTTAAAGCTGGTATTTAATGCTTATAATTTAAGTACATTTTTTTGGAGAGGTTTTTGCTATAGGGTGTGTGCACTCGCCAGACAGAGAGACCGAAATGAAGAAATCACCCCTCCCAGGGTGGATGGCCATGCCACAATCCCTTCTCCTCCATTCTCCTCTTGGGATCTTGGGCATGCTTGCACACATGCCTGGCGTGAATTTAAGCCACCGAGTCAGGGACTCGAACTGCAGTCACGAGGTGGGAGTCCAGCAACATAGCCACTATGCCATCTGCTGGTCCCTAATTTAAGTAAATTCTAAATAAAGTACTTTGAATGAAATTTTACTAAAGTATTTTTTATTGCTTTCATGAAACATTTTACATTTAGTATATGATTTATAATAGACAGAAATGAGTGAATATTAAGAGAAAGAATTAAAAAGGAGGATGAGTTTGTTTGTTTCCAATGTCAAAGGTAAAGACTAATTTCTGTAAAAATTAATTATACTCTTATAGGATAATAAGAGTTATTATTATTAACAGGCTAAAGTCTCTCATTTAAAACATGTGTGAATGTGTTAGACTATAAGATTTTGGGATCTTTCTCTCTCTCTGAGAGCAACTTCTCATAGCAGTGTCTTTTTTAGGGCCCAAGCAGGACCACTGAAAATGTTCACTTAGAGCTGAGGCCACTGGAAGGGTACCATCTGATGCTTAATCTCTGTATGCTACACATTTTTTCAGTGCCTCCTATAAGAAAGCACTGTGGTATATACAAAGTAATATTTATTTGCTTCAATTTTTATTTTATTTACATGATAAGCAAACTTTGAGGGAAGAAGTATAAATTCTCTCACTGCTATAAAACTTATACTGATAACTACAATTATTAAAGTTTGTTTTCAGATTTGACTATAATCACTCAAATTATCATCAGTGTAATGATTTACGGCAAAGGAGAATAATTAAAGTGTCTATTGAGATTTTGCCCCATCAACTTAATTTCTGTACAAGTCTTATTTAAAATTTATTCCTTATGATCACTTCTCAATAAGTGATAGGATGTTAATAGTATATTAAAGTATGAATAAGAAAAAAATTTTAACTAATATGTGCTCAATTAATTTGTTACAAAAATGAATTACACCCCTGCATCTTATTTTGGTGACTGAGTAAAGGCATGAAACAAACTAGTAAAATTAACAGGAACAAAACATATAAAATTAGGGAAATATGAGCACAGTTACAAAATTTGACTTCTAAACATAAAAAGGAAAATATTTAGGATAAAGAGTCATAGTACGTTTTCTTTTTTCTTTCCTTGATAGAAATATTATCTTAAGCAACATAAGAGTTAAGATTTCATATTATTATAAACCTCAAACCTAAGTTTTATAAAAATAGTTTAATGCTTGAATTGTATAACAAAATAGCTAGAGCTGAGTTTTAAAAACGGTATCATTAATTTGGGAACAAAGAAATTATTAAACACTTTGCTCAGAAACACATATCACCTGTCTAAAAAATTATGAGAAAATCAATCTTTCTGGTTTGCAGATTCTGGCTTGCAGAATACCAAATGTATTTTTCTAAATGTCACAAAAAAGCTGAACAGAGTTTCTCCAAGGACTTTCCAACTGCAGAATGTTAACCTCGGAGACATACTAAGCTATTTGTGGGAAAAGAGAGCAGAAATAAGCAACCTTATAATGTTAAAGAGAAAGGTCAGTATACAGTCTGATGAATGCTAAGAATGTAAAAATAGAACAAAAAAGAATACACTGAATAAAGAAAGTATTGCAAAAAAAAACCTTCATGTACATTTCACAATTTAAAATACTTTCTTCAAAAATAAACTATTTGATTATTCTTTCCCCCTTTCAAAAGAACTAATTTCTTAAAAACCAGTATTAGTTTAGTTTTGATTTATTATTTTTTTAATAATTACTATTTTATTTAACTTTATTTATTTATTTATTTATTCATTCATTCATTTGCCCAGAAAGGGACAGAGGGAAAGAAAGAGAGGGAGAGTGAGAAAGCAAACTGCCAGGTCTGGTACTTGAACCGTGGTTGATCGTATGGGGAGTCCAGCGCCCTTAACCACCATGCCACCAGCCGGCCCCTTGCTTTATTATTTTTAAAGCTTTAAGTTATTTAACAAATTTTAAAATTTGAGATAAACTATTTAAACCTTTATTAACATCACTCTAATGCTAGTGAAAAATTGAGACTATTTTTATTATTTTATTTTTGAATAAGTAGAAGTGATAGACCTAGTTCTATGATCAGCCTCAATAAATATAAAATAATACACAGCCCATACAAAAATAATTGAGAAAGCAAAATCAGCTATTAGTATGATTTAAAGTAGAGTGTCATAGGATGTTTAACAATTTACTCACATTGTTGAAAATCGAAGTTTTATTCCTAAAGTAGGGGCGATATAAAGTTAGCACTTACAACAACATAAAGGTATCAGAAGAAGGTTGCAAAGTACAGTATGGATTTAACAACAAGAGATTGGTCTTATGTGTGTTACCCAGCACCGTTACTTTCTCTGGTAAAACAACCGAAACTGAACAGGTCAAATGCATGGCTATTTATTTTTTGCTGATCTTCACAGGTGATCCTTTGATGTTGAGTTTGTCCACAAAAATGTTTGATTTTCTTCCACTTTCAATGGCTGGACTTTGAGGGGCTTTCTCCCTAAGAAATAAACATATAAACATTAATATTTTTAAAAGGGTCAGTGGTTTTTAAATCAATACAGACATATTAAAAACCACTACGATTTAAGGAGAATTTAATCTTAAAAGTTCCTAAATAGCTTTAAAAGCATAGGCAGACTATTTAACTGCACATTTTAGAGAGCAACAGACGTTTACCTAAGACAGATTTAACTGCTTATTATTTAAATCATGCTGTCCAAGATGAGAGTCACTAACCACATACATATTTAAATTAATTAAAATGAAATAACTCAGTTCTTCAGTTTTACAACCACGTTTCAAGTGTGATTCAAAAGCCACATGTATGTAGTGATCACCATGTTGGAAAGCATAGATAAATAGCACTTTTATTACAAAAAATCATTTCAGAAAATGCTACTAGACAGAGCTGACTAAGAGAAAATGCCAGTTATGATCACAGATTTACAGGTCATCCAGAAGGAACAAGTTTCCTCCAACTGGGAACTGGGTTTTATATTCAAACGGAACACTATTAAATTTTTAATTTAGAAATGTTTCAAAGTGAGACAAATGTTACCTAAAATTATACCGGGAGCAAGTTTTCAAGTCATTCAGTGAAAAATATATTAGGGCTCCAAGTTCCAAAACAAGGAGTTGTAGAGGAAAGGTGCTAGCACATGAAAGTACGTAAGGCTCTGGGTCAGTTGATACCCACTTGTCCACTTCTGCTTCTGTGGGGACATCCACTTCTATAGCCATCCTCCACTCTTACAGCCTAGAACAGATTTCTACTTTAAGCCCTGGGGAAGCCCCTCTCTCTCCAAGTGTAATTTCAAACAGGAATTAGGCATTGTTTTCAATTTTTTTCCCCAGAGAATTAAACTGAAACTCTAGAATATGTATTAGATACATAAAAATGTATAATATTTAATATGTGGTTTGGCCACATTTGTTTTCTTACAATTATTCCAAAAGATAATTCCAAGGAAGGCTAAAGTTTCTGCAAAATTCTTCCAAAATATCTAATACACATAAATCTATATAATATGTACTGTTACATATTATACAGGTGTCTAAAGTGCTGAATTTCGGGAAATTGGTAACTCTTAGAAGTATCACCCCATCCCCTTATCATATTTCCAGACACATCTTCCCGTTATGAAATATTGACTGTATATCTAAATTAGAATCTGTTTCACAAGAATAACTACACATAGCATATCACTTTTCCTTAGAAAGATTTAGGCCTTTGTCTTTTAAAGCATAGTTTCCCAGTGAATGACTAACCATACAATCCTAAAATATTACTGGCTATTTGATATACATTTAAATTGGTGTGGAATCATCACATTTAATGTAAAATAATTTTCATAATATCTCTCATCAAAAAATAATGTAGACACAATGTGCATGTTCAACAAAACTTTCTGGTAATAGAGGTAAAATTACGTAACTTCTAATCCTTTAAAAAACACAATTTATTTCAGAAACAACTTTTACCTTCTTTTAAGTTCTCGGGATCCTAAATTCTCATGGCCAATGCTTCGCATTCGAGGGTTCTCTAGATTGCGCCATCGTCCTCCTGGCTTGTACTTTAGAATCTCATTTTGCCACTCGTCATCAAAAGCATGAGCATCAGCTGTATTAAATATCAACAGAAAGAGAACAAGTATTAAGATATCAACTGTCAGAAACTGCCTTGCTCCTCACATATTTTATTCTAGGCTGGTGTATTCCTACGTTTAATTTCTTAGAGGCAGGAAGCTGCTTCAAACATAAAGGTCTTTGACAAGGGTCATATTTTCCTTCCTATTTTAAATAAATTATGGATTATTCACGATAAAACTTTTAGATAGCCACTTAGAATGCTTTTAAAAAAAATAAAATCATAGGTGACTATAATTATAATGTTGAGCTAAAACAATCACTATATGAATTATGTGAACAGTAAAATACTAATTTGAAAAAGTATGTTTGTTTAGGGACCAGCAGCTGGTGTAATGGCTATGTCACTGGACTCCCATGTAGTTGACTGTGGTTCCAGTCCTGGATCTAGTGGCTTAAACTCATGCCGGGTGCGTGGGTGTGCGTGCCAAGGATCCCGAGAGAAGAATGGAGGAGAAGGGATTGCAGCGTGGCCATCCCCCGTGGGGGGCGATTTCTCGCTTTCTGTCTCTCTGTCTCTCTTTGTCTGTCTGATGAGCACATGCGTCCTATAGAAAAACCTCTCCCAAAAAAAAAAAAAAGAAAAGAAAAAGTATGTTTGTTTTTATATACACAAAACTATTAGAAAGAAATGCATTAAAGCATTCGGTTTTAGAATCGTGGATTTTTATTTTCCTTCCTTCCTTGATAAGCCTTTCCTTTCTATTGACAGCATTAATAAATAACAATAGAAAATAATCCATTTTCCAATTATAAAACAAGAAAAGTAAATGATAACTCACACTGCAAAAAATTATTATTAAAAAAATCTACTACGGGATGATAAAACCACAAGTTTATTACTTTGACAAGTTACTCCCTACACACATTATTCATAAACTACACGTTATGAAATGTTTATACAAAAATGTTAAGTTACAGCTTCTGTTTTAACATTATAAGATGGAATGCTGTTTTTTTTTTTGTGATAACTTACTTTCATTCATATTGATGAACTCTTGATTGACTTCTTCATCTCCAGTCTTGCTGTTCTTTGACTTTTTAATGACATGAGCTCGGTCGTGGATATGATGACCAACAGCCATTTTTTCTAGTCCACTGTCAGAATCTCTCATTGCTCTCCTGGTTTCTTTTATCTGTAAAAATAAAATTACTATAGTTATTATTTTAATATATAAAAATTTCTCAGGGCCTGTCTATCTATTGAGATAAGCACTAAAAATAAAATCCATTATTTTAATAATATCCTATTTTGTAGGATAATAACCATCTATAACCACTAGGCCTTGGGGCTGGCCCTCTGATCTTTCCTGAACTTCCTAAAAAGAAAATGCTTGGGACTCAGGCCAGCCAGGTAGTCAGTGGTTAAGGGAAACAGATTCCACATGGTTGACTGTAGTTCAAATCCTGACCAGTGGCTTGAAAACATGCCAGGTGTACGTGTTTGAGTGCCCAAAATAGTGATGGCAAGGAGAAATGCAAGAAAAAAGATTGTGGCATGATTATGCACCTACTGGGGGATCCTTTCTTTTTCTCTCTTTTCTCTGTCTGGCAAGAGTATTTGCCTCTGGCAATAAACAGATTAAAAGCCTCGGACAAACAGCGCTAGTACAATCTACCCTCTTTTGAAACTGTAATCAAATAGTAAACAATAAAACTTAATGTATAAAACTTAATGCCTTCAATACCATCTCTAACAATATAATAGAAAGTAGTTCATGGTGACATTCCTACAAGGGCAACTAAATTACTCATAGTCATTTTGATGGGCTTGAATTTCATGGTTTCCACCTAACAACTCTCCGTAAATGTTATTGGAATATTTATAATAGCCGGAGACTATTAACATGATTTTTTGTGGGACGAATACAATTATATTCACTTTTAGGAAGTTAAAATTAAAATGTCTGAGATAAATTAGCTAAATTATGACAAGAGCATCATTAAAGGTGCATTTTCATATGTAAGAACTAAAAAATGAACTACTTCACATTCATTAAACTGGTAAATTGAAAATTTCACTGGAAGCATTAATAAGAAAGTGGAGAAATGGGAACTCTCATACCACAGCTGGTGGAAACCGAGTTTCATTCACTGTGGAATGCTAACTTCATCATTTCTAGGTGAAGTTAAGGTATTCACAACCTACGATCCAGCATTAACATTCTCAGACCCTTTGCACAAGAAGATATGGTATAACTGAACTGATGAAAAATTGGATATACCTAAATATATATCAGTAAAAATTAAAACTGCAGTATATTTCTATGTTGAAAACAATATAGAAATTGAAGTAAAGAAACCAGGGCTACACATATCAACTTGAATATATCATGAAAGTTTATTACCAAGAAAAAATGCAAGTTGCAGAGGCTACGTACTATAGAATATCATTCATATAAAGTTTAGAAGCCTGCAAAGTAATCCACTGTATTTTTTTTTTTTTGGAGAGATTTTCACTATAGGGCGCGTGTGCTCGCCAGACAGACAGAGAGAGACATAGAGACAGAAAGCGAGAAATCACCCCCCAGGGGGGATGGTCACGCCGCAATCCCCTCTCCTCCATTCTCCTCTCGGGATCTTGGGCACGCACGCACACGCACCCGGCGTGAGTTTTAAGCCACCGGATCCGGTACGCGAACCGCGGTCGACTACGTGGGAATCCAGCGACATAGCCATTACGCCAACTGCCGGTTCCCTCCACTGTATTTTTTATGAAGCAGATGCTTCATAAAGTAATCAAATTGTAAAAACACACACGGGATGATAAATTTGATACAGTAAAATGCTTATCTCTTGACCTAGGAGGAGTGTTTTGGAAGCTTTAACTGAATCTGTAACTTTTTCCCAGACAGGATCTTACCATGTTTTGATACTTCTGACCCAGTCTACTGATAAACTGGGATTACAGGCATGTGCCATCATGCCAAGCTTTATAATGTTCTCACTTAAAAAGAAAAATAATAAAATAAGTGGGACCAGCAGGTGGCATAGTGGTTAAGGGCCCTGGACTCCCATGTGACCGACCATGGTTCAAGTCCTGGACCTGGTGGCTTGCTTTCTCACTTTTGCTCTCTCCCTCTCACTCTGTCCCTCTCTGGTCAAATTAAAATAAGTAAATAAATAAATAAAATTAAATAAAATAATTATTTTAAAAAAAGAAAAATAATAAAACAAGAGACAACTTGAAGCAAATAGAGGAAAATATTATGATTTGATGAAAGCGGTTGGCAGAAATACGGGTTTTTGTTATACTAAATTATTTTCTATATCTTTTTGGTACACAAGAAATATTTCATGAGTGAATTTACCTAAGTTATAAACTAAAAATAGACATTTATTTCACGAAACAGTTTCGTTTTATTGTCTTTGTGAACAGGTAATGATAATAATCATCAATAGATAGTTACATGAAAAAAGACATCCTCAACAGGGAACAATAAAATAATAATGCCATATATTGAGTAAATACAGTTGAGCTTTAACAGTTTTCACAACTGTCTTACCACAGCTTCATATTCCCCTTCCCCACTGCCTCCCTGTACTCTGTGCTCTGCAGCTGGCACCACACGGGAGACCTGGGTTTGATTCCCAGCCCAGTCTACAGTGGTGTGCACCTGTCATCCCAGCAATTTAGAAGGCAGAGGCTGGAGGGTCGTGAACTCAAAGCTGGCCTGGGCAATGTACTGATTGAGACCTTTGGAAAAATGAGCTAGGCATGGTGGTGCATGTTTGCAGTCCCTGTTGGGAGGTTGCTTAGTCAGAAGAACTGCAACAGTGAAATCCTGGCTTAAAAAGGATTACATAGGCAGTCTAGCATCCCACACTTTAAAAAGCTCTAAGAATGCTTAGAAAATACTTACTCCTCCTGGAGCCCTACGTGTTTGAGTAGAGGCCTGGAAAACCTTTGGTGGTTCATCTCCTACTTTGGAATAAGTCATAACTGAGGAAGAACAAAATGAATGTCCATTTTGATCCATTGAAAGTTGACCCTATTGGTAAACAGAAATGGTAAGTTCAGAGTCCAGTCAAACACAAAGAATTAACGTTAAGGGTTCAAATAAGTAGCAACACTGGCTCTAAGTTCTACTAAGGATACCATACTACACCAAATGGCACTACCAGGAAAGTCCTAACTTTATTCCATTTTAAGTATCAATTCTCACAAAAATAATAAGTAATCTCACTCAGAGATCCTTAAGTCTTTGGGTCCTTGTGGCTTAGATTGAAATAAACATGTTGATGGGACCAGCAGTTAGCGTAATGGCTATGTCGCTGGACTCCTACGTAGTCGACCGCGGTTCTCGTCACGGACCCGGTGGCTTAAAACTCATGCCGGGTGCCTGTGCGTGCGTGCCCAAGATCCCGAGAGGAGAACGGAGGAGAAGGGATTGCGGCGTGGCCATCCCACCGGGGGATGATTTCTCGCTTTCTGTCTCTCTGTATCTCTCTTTCTGTCTGGCAAGCGCACGCGCCCTATAGCAAAAACCTCTCAAAAAAAAAAAAAAAAAGGAAATAAACATGTAGATATGGTGGCTAAAGTGCTAGATTCCACCATGGCTGACCACTGTACATGTCCTGGACTTGGTGGCTTGCTTTCTCACTTTCTCTCCCTCTCTCTCTCTGGTGAGTACATCTGCCCTATAGCAAACTTGATAATAATAATAAATAAAATAAAATAAAATAAAGTTATGTACTAAATGTGACTTTTTTCCTAATTTGCCAGAATGTGAGTGCACTTGACAGAGAAACAGAGGGAGGTAGAGAAAGGGACAGGAAGGCAGAGGGAGAAAGCACCCCACTTCCCCTGCCATGGGGAATGGTCACGCTATAATCCCTTCTCTATTTCTCCTTCTTTTCAGAATTTTGGGTACACGTGCACATGTGCCTGGCATATTTTAAGATGTAAAGTCTAGGGCTCTAACCACACAGTCAGCCATGTGGGATCCAGCTCCCTTAACTAACAGGCCACAGGCTGGCCCAAAACACAATACTTCTACAGTCAGTGATTGGTCCTTGTGTACAATCTTCCCTACATTTAGCCAATTAGCCATTTTCTACTAAGTTTCATACCACCTGAGGGTACCAGATCACTAAATTACTAAAACTATTACCAATGTTCCAGATTTGGGCATGCAAAAGGATCCATAGAATCCAAACCCGATGAAAAGAATAATGGTCTTCTTCAGATCAAATCAAGTTGTTGACTTGATGTTAATGTTAGGAGTAAAAAGTAGGAGTATTAGTACTACTTTGGACTATATGAATCTAATGCAGTACCTAAAAAGTACCTTTGAAATTTCTATTTTTAGAGTTTTATTTTTTTAAAAAAATTAAATTTATTTGATGCAACTAATCCTTTAAAATAAACATGCTATAAATAATAAAAATATTCAAAGCTATATACAATGCTCATTTATAAAAGTGACTTCCAGCAGAAAAATGTTTATGAAGGTTTTTTTTATTTTGAAAATTAATTGTTATCACTCGATCTTGTAGGTTATGAAACCAATTTAGTGAGTTGTGACCAGAATTCTTAACACAATAAACAAAATAGAAAATATCAGCATGTAATAAGTAGAATGATCATTTTTTCATAAAATTTTTGTTTTAGGTATATTTATAAAGTACACAAGTATTATGTATCAGGTGAATCACATAAAATTTTCTTGCAACCACTGCAAACTTCTGTTAAATGTTTGAAAGCCACTATAACATGGGGTACTAATAGCTGAAAACAATGTTCTCATCATTTTATTTTTAGTACTTACAAAGTTTCTTTGTAATTCCTGCATACTGTTTCGCATATTTAACATCATTCGGTCCATTGCCCGAAAGGGGCTGACATCTGTATGCTACAGAATATTAGGAAGTATATTATTAACTACAAGTACATCACAAAAGAAGCAAACCAAAATCTTCCCAAGACGGTTGAAATTTTCTCCCACTTCAGTTAGTGGGATCTCATGCAGTAAACAACCAGGCAAAGATAATTCAAGCACTACACAGTGAAAGCAATTTGTTCAAGAAAAAACTGAAGCACATACAGAATCCCAAACAGTCAACATATAAATGACTGCGGAAATGGAATAATAACAATACATAAGAATAAACACACACACAGAGGTGTATATATAAACATAATAAACAGACATGTTCACTTAAATACACATATGCACATATTCATCAGCTTTCTCCAAACATAATTTGGTTGATAATAAATACTGAGTCGTACATTCTGGTCTGGAACGGCTCTAGTATAGCAGTCTTCAAATTTTTCCTTCTTCCTCTCAACATCCCACCATGCAAATAAATAAAACTTGTGTAAAAAATGTTACTGCCACTTCTACCATACCACATGGCTAACAAAGCTGCCCTGTGAGTAGCTAATTCATGTCTTATCATAGTAGTGTCCAGGTGATAGAAGTCAATGCACTCTACGAATAGGCCTTTAATTTGCTGCCCACTGAAGGATTAGTCGGCCATACCTAAAGAGCAAGTGCTATACTTCTTTAATTAAAAACGTCTTGTTAACAGTGGTTTCTCAACCAGGATAGATTGTGACCCCAGGAAAGGGCATTTGGAAATAACTACAATAACTTTTGGTTGTCACAACTGAGGAGGATGTATGATCAGCATCTACGGGTAAAGACCAGGGACATTGCTAACAATCCTACAATGCACTGGTCAGCCTCTCAGAACAAACAACTATCTGCCCCAAATGTCTATAGTACTGAGGTTCAGAAACCTCGCTCAACAAAAATCTATTCATTTTAGGGTTTTGTTTTTTCTTAAACAGAGATTTTTACAATAGGGTGCATGTGCTTGCCAGAGAGAGGTAGAGAAACAGAAAGCAAGAAATCACCCTCCAGGGTGATGACTATGCCACAATCCCTTCTCCATTCACCTCTTGGGATTTTGGGCACACACACACACACGCCTGGCATAAGTTTTAAGCTGCCAGGGCCATGGTTTACTTCATGGGAGTCCAGGAATGTAACCATTATGCCATCTGCTGGTCCCAATTTTAGGCTTTATTACTAGAACACTTACCAGAATGTAAAACTAAAACACACGCTACAGTGTGCCACCCAATGTATTATCTATGATTACAAAACAAAGAGAGTTGGTCTAAGGAATTTCTCTGCTCAAGCAGAGAAGTCTTTGAATCCTGTAAAGCACTTCAGTTCACTGCTGGTATTTCAGTCCTTCGGGAGACTCCTTTGCTATATGTCAAGGTGAACCTCAATAAAGAATTATCAAAGACCTGCTTATGTCTCTACCTTCCATTAGGCTTTTCTGCTAGTAACAATGGGAGATGGATGGAAAAAACAAATTCTTCTTTAGAATTTGTTTGCATTTATTGTCATAGGGAACAACTAAGGCACATTTAGGAAATTCTCATATTTGGGTACCCAAAGGACTTATGCAGAATTAATCTGCATTTCAGAGACTGAAATAGAATTCAGGAAATATTCCAAATATTTCATTTCAACACTAGGTGGAGAACCAGGACCTGTATAAGAGCCAGTAATTGGCCAGCTGCAAAAGCACACAGGTGGTGGTGTGATGCTCTGCGATGCTTAAGGCATGTGGGAAGGTCCCGGGTCTCCCTGTGCATGCTGGGTGGGCATCTGCCCATGACGTTGGCTGTCTAGGGCTGGGAGTGGATCATTGTGTGAGGACCCTGTTGGGCATACTTGTCTGTCTGTCTCTCACTCTCAGAGGAAATACATGAATATACTTTTAAAAAGGTACAGACATAATGAATAAACTTTAAAAAGGATGAAGATGTAATTTCACCTCTCCTCTGGAGAGATGGAAAGGTTACATCAAAAAAGGAGAAGAAGGAAGATTTGGGTATGTTGTTCTTCTCAATACACCAAATGTAGATGTATTTGCTCTGGAGTGGATCAACACCACCGAGTGACAAAAAGTGGGGACAGAAATTAGAGATGACATTCCAGTGGGCCCTTAAGGCCTTTAGGATTTTTATACACATGTTCCTCTCTCTGCCTTATTTGGTATACCTGTTTCTCTCTCACTAAGGCCTCTCTTGGCCATCTGACTAATCCTTGCTTTAGCGCTCACCTTCCTTTCACCACCCTGGCTTTATCTCTTGCAGAGAGTACTGGTATATGAAACTACTTCATTGTTATGTCTTCCTAGTTTATAAAAATAATCTCTGTGAGGGCAAGGCTATCTTTTATACCTTGTGTGCTACTACATTCCCAATGCTAAACATAATTCCAGGCACATAGGAGGGCTCAATAAATATGTGCTGAATGAATGAACAAATTATCTCTAGCTCACTTCAGGTCTATACATCTATACCAGGACAACCTATAGACACCTCGAATATAAAACACCCAAAACTGAGATGATCATTTTAACCACTTGAATCAGTGCTGTCTCTTAGCTCAGTGGCATTACTGTCTACCTAGTTCCTCATGCCAGGAAAATTGGTATTATGCTTCCATTCTCCCTTTCTACTACTCCTTCAACCCGGTCAATCACCAATTTTTTCCCTCTTTAGTTCTCTCTGAAATGAGATGTTTTTTTCTTTATCAGCACAGCCATTACCAAGTAGAAGTTATTTCTAATACTTCACTCAGGATTTCAACAGCCTCCAGGACTTTATGCCTCCAACTGTGTTGTTCTTTTCGAATCTTTCACTCCCCTACAGGCACAGTGATCTTTTAAAAATGAGAATCTAACTCTATCAACATTTGACAGAAGTCTATCAGCTGCTTCCCTGCTCTTAAGATAAAGTCTACACTCCTTAGCATGGCCTAAAGGAATTTCTAGCTACTTCTTCATCTGTGTCTACTGACCAATGCTTATTCTAGGACCAAGTGATCCTAACATGTCCTAGTTATGGAGTCCTCCAGCTCTTCTGCATGTGCTGTTTCCTCTGTGTTAAATACTCTTCCTTTCCCCTCCCTGCTTTTCCTGACTAATTCCTACTAATTTTTAAGATTCAGGAAGCCTTCCTTGACTGGCCCCCACTTGATCCCACCTCACAAGGTCTGGGTTGAGGTCTTTTATCTGTCTGTGCATACTGATCACCTTGACCATTTTACTGATAATTGTGTTAACTGTTTCCCTGACCCCCAACATTTGTCCCATGAAACACTCTGGTCATGAAGGACAAATATGGTTTATAAAACTTCAGGGAAAGAAATGGTTCAAGTACGGCACAAAAGAATTAAAAAAAAAAAAGTTTCATGACAGCATAAATTAAAACGTTCCAAATTCATGTTTTTAGGTATGTTAGAAACTAGCATCACAGACATAAGATCAAAGCCCAAGAAACAGGACTGGGAGAAATGCTGGTTGCAGGGTAGCCATACTTGGTTATGAGGGCAAGAAAATGTAGTGTGGCCAAGTCAGCAACAAAGTCCTAGAGAAAGTAGCCAATCTGACCCGTCCAAATGTTGTGCTTCTCTATCTACAGTTTGATGCTTGGAAAGTCATGTAACCATGTGGAAGTCTCAAGCTTTCAAACACAGCTAGAGACGGGGATCCCTTTTGTAAAGATAAGTGACTATTCACTATTAAAATCTACTTTTTATTTTTGCAGACTGATTTTACATATGTTGACATGACTTACTTCAGAAAACGTGCCGAAACACTGTAAGATAAATGTAATACATGAAACAGAGGTCTTTAGTACAAATATTAAAAGCTGCTACATTAAGAATGTTAGTGAGACAGCATGCCAATTCAATCTGCTCGAGTTAAGGAAAAACGAATACTTGTCAGAAAATAATGCTAAGACAGTTGCCGTCTCATGATACGAACCATACCACCGAAACTGCCAAAAGGCACAAGAGAACAATTCATTGCCTAGAAAAATGATATCCAATTAATGTTATGATATATATAAGATAATAATTCAGGAAAAGAAATGCACTTCATAACCGCATAGCTTTGGGTTACTAAAATTACAGAACCTTTAATCAAAAAATCTCTCTCTCTCTCTCTATATATATATATGTTTTTAAAAATTATTTTCTTATTCATTATAGAACAATACAGAAGCCTAGCAGGCAAATAGGGAGGCCATATATCACTTAAAAATATGACTACTCTAGTATTTATTAAAGGCAATTAAAAGAAAAATTATTTGCTGTGGATTAAGATAAACATTATTTCTTACAGAAATGCAAATTTATACCCAAAGTAATTAAAACATAAGGTACAATGATTAAATCAGCTTTCCTTTGCTCAATGAATCCACATTTTTTTAAAAAAAATTAGTTACTCTTGCCAGTAACTGATTAAAAAAATTTATGTACAGTAATAAAATTCCAAAGAATCAGTAGAGATACTGGGTAAAAATTTAATACTTCTAAGGACTAACTTGTAAAATAAATTAATATAGACTTCAGAAAGAATCATATACACGGATTTAAAAGTATTTATAGAGTCTTTGATAAGGAAAACATTTGGTACACAGATGAAATCATGAAAATGAACAGTTCACAAGGTATATTCCTTAATAAGTAGAGATAAATAAAAATAAATTTTTAGATATATACAAATGAAAGACTTTTACTTGAAAGTTTTTCACTAACTTTAAATGTTGAAACAAGTTTCTTTTAGTATTTTTAAAATTATTATTTTAATCAACAAATTGTAGTTGACCATATAGGTTACAGTGTGATTTTTTATTTTTTTAATTTATTTTATATTCATTCACTATATATCATTACAGAATACAAAATGAATTTTCCCATTGAATACTGGCCCAGTCAAAGATACCACTATACCTATTATTTTCAACAGATAATTTTCTGTTTTGCTTCTTTTTTTCCCTTGATTCCCTTCCTCTCACCCTCTGCCATTTCCCACTGTCTTCCCACAGTCTCTGGTACCACAGTTGCTCTCCATGCCTTTACATAGTCCAGTACTTCAGGTTCTGCTAGAGAGTGCAGATACTCAGTATATATGGAGTGGGGACATACAATGTTCTTTCATTTTCTGGCTTGCTTCACTTAGCAATAAGTCTAACACATTTGTCTACTTTCTATCAAATGTCAGGGTCTCACTGTTTTTTTGATGGCTGAATAATATTCTGTAATGTATATGTTCCACACTTTTTCAATCCACTCATCTGTTTATGGACTTTTGGGTTCCATGTTTTAGCCATCATGAATAGTGTTGCAATAAATAGGGATGTGCAAATGTTTTTCTGATTAAGTGTTTTCCTATTCTTTGGGTAGATACTAAGGAGTGGAATTGCTGGATCATATGGTAGTTCTATCTGCAGGTTTTTGAGGAATCGCCATATTGTTTTCCATAGTGGCTGTACTAAATTACATTTCTACCAACAGTGTAACAGAGTTCCCTTTTCACCACAGCCTTGCCAGCACTTACCACTCATAATTTTTTTTTTTTTACTCTTAGGCATTCTGACTGGGGTTAGGTGTTACCTCATTATAGTTTAGATTTGCATCTCCCTTATGATAAGAGATGCTGAGCATTTTTTCATATGCTCTTTTAGCCATTCAGAAGTCTTCCTTAGAGAGTTGTTTGTTCAGTTCATTTGCCCATCTTTTAATTGGGGAATTAATCTTTTTTTTCAGGTAAGCTGTTTCAGTTCCCTGTATAGTTTGGTTATCACTCCCTTATCTGAAGCATAGTTTACAAAAATATTCTCTCATTCCAAGGGTTGTTGATTCACTCTAATTATTGTCTTTTTTCCTGGGCAGAAGCTTTTTAAAATAATGTAATCCCACTTGTCTATTTTTGGGATTATTGCCTGTGCTTTGGGGATCTTGCTCAAGAAGTCTTTGCCTACTCCTAGATATCTAAGAGTTTCCCGTGTTTTCCACCAATAGTTTCAAAGTTGGTGGTCTTAGATCTAGATCTCTGATCCCTACTGAGTTGATTTTTGCTAATGATGAAAGATAGGAGTCCAGTTTCATCTTTTTTGCAGGTGCATACCCGGTTTTTCCAGCACCATTTGTTAAAATAAATCTTCTTTCTCACTGGATTTACTTGTGGCCTTTGTCAAAAATCAGTTGACTATATGTTTTGGGGTTTGAAATAAGTTTTAAATTTTTAAGTAAAGGGTATAAAATTTTATCATTCATTGAGATAAGTTTTCTCATTATAGATAATATTATACATAGTTTATCAGTGTAGTTTTATTATTCAGTGATAATTTTCTCTCTGTGCAAGTAGTGTTGAAAAATAAATGGCAGTGCTTACATTAAATTTTACAATAAATAATATCTGATGATACATATTTATAATATATATCTAAAACAGTAGTCTCCAAAATATGTTGGATGCACCAACAGAAGTCCCATAGGTTAGGATCTCAGGATTGGTATGAAAATATACTGGGGATTGGGACCAGCAGTTAGTGTAATGGCTATGTTGCTGAACTCCCATGTAGTCGACCAGGTTCAAGTCCAGGACCCAGTGGCTTAAACTCACACCCGGTACGTGTGTGTACATGCCTAAGATCCCAGGAGGAGAATGGAGGAGAAGGGATTGAGGCGTGGCCAACCCCCCTAGGGGATGATTTCTCACTTTCTGTCTCTCTGTCTCTCTCTCTATCTGGCAAACGTAAGCGCCCTATAGCAAAAACCTCTAAAAAAAACCCCAAAATTTTCATTTTAATATTCCAGAGGGCATGTGTACTTGCCAGAGAGACAAAGAGGAAGAGGGAGAAAGCATCCCTACACTATGGAGTGTAATTACACCACAATCCCTTCTCCTCCAATTTTCTCTCTTTTTGAGATTTTTGGGTACTCATGCACATGAACTTGACATGTTTTTCAGGCTGCTGTGTTTGGGACTCAAATCACAGTTTTCCATGTGGAATCCAGCTCCTTTAACCACCAGGCTGGCCCCTACAAAATATTTCAATGCCAACATGAAAGAGAAAATTTCAGAATATCATAATTGATATTTTCTGCCTTTGATAATTTTTCCTGATATTAATTTTAAACTTTTTAAAATTAAAAAAAAAATTTTAAAAGATTTTTGCTATAGAGTGCATGCACTCGCTAGACAGACAGAAAGCAAGAAATCACCTCCCAAGGGAGTGGTCATGCCACAATCCCTTCTCCTCCACTCTCCTTTCATGATTTTGAGCACACATACACATGCGCCTGGCATGAGTTTCAAGTTGCTGGGGCCAGGACTCAGACCGTGGTCAGCCATGTGGGAGTCCAGTGATGTAACCATTACATCATCTGCTGGTCCCTAATTCTAAACTTTTATGGAAACTGATTAGAATTAAAAGTAAAGTGTGAAAGTGTGTGTGTGTGGTTGTGTGTGTGTGTGTATAAACATATATAACAATACCACTATTCACTAATTGTTCTAGCCCATTATCTTTTGCCAACAACTAACATCAGAAATACCTGAGTGTGGGCCCAGCAGGTGGCACAGTGGTTAAGGTGCTGAACTCCCAACATCTCTGACCACAGCTCAAGTTGTAAAAGTCACACCAAGCGCTGTGTGTATGTGCCCAAAATCCCAAAAGGAGAACGGAGGAAGAGGGACTGTGGTGTGACCATTCCCCTGGGAGGGAGGTTGATTTCTCATTTTACCTGTGTCTCTCCCCAGTGAGCACATATGCCCATGGCTTGCTTTCTCACTTTCCCTTTCTCTCTGTCTGTCTCTCTGTCTCTCTGCTCAAATGAAAAAAACAAAAATAATGAATGAAGTTTTTTTTTTTTTTTTAAAAAGGTTAATCCAAGCTTTAAAGTTTTTAAAAAGGTTAATCGAAGCTTTAAAGGTTCCAGATAGTCATGAAGAAGATCAGTGCTTCCTAGTCCAATAAGAATAGAGCATTATACTATAACTTTTGATAGAATTTTAAAATATTAAAATGAAGTGTTCAAGGCAGGAGGGCTATTTCCTTGCTTGTTCTAATTTAAGCCATGTGAAGAAGTCATGAAGGTAAAAGGACCAGCAGTTAGCGTAATGGCTATGTCGCTGGACTCCCATGTAGTCGACCGCGGTTCGCATCTCGGACTCGGTGGCTTAAAACTCACGCCAGGCGCATGTGTGTGCTTGCCCAAGTTCCCAAGAGGAGAATGAAGGAGAAGGGATTGCAGCGTGGCCATCCCCCCTGGGGGGTGATTTCTCGCTTTCTGTCTCTCTGTCTCTCTCTGTCTGTCTGGTGAGCACACATGCCCTATAGCAAAAAACAAACAAACAAGCAAACAAAAAAAACTCTCCAAAAAAAAAAAAAGTTGTTATAAACGTGAGAAAAAAAATTGTGTGTGTATACATGTATATATAGTCAAAATATAATGGTTTAAGTTTTCTTATGTTATATAACCCTATGGTCTTAAAAGTTTTGTAAGCACAGCAGAAATTTATATAGCTAATGATTCACTGTTCAAGGATTCTGTTTTCCAACATGTCCTCCCCTTATAATAGTTATTTCTATAACACAAGTATTAATCATATCCTATTATCGCAGATGTAATATTTTTTTTCAAGTTTCTACAGAGCATTCTCACTAATTGTCTTTAAAATAAAGAACTTACAGTCAAGGAATCTTCGCCATCATCATGTCTTGTACGATTACGAGTTCTTCCTCTCCCATCAGAGATACTGAGCAAGTCTCTTCCAAAAGGTTCAGAAAAACTTTTCATCATCTGTCGCATACTTTCTCGGTGTGCAACAAAAGAGTCACTGTTGAAAATAGTTTATAATCATGTGAGATTAAGTATTGGAATTTAAATAATAAGTAGGTAGCTAAATAGTATGAAGAATTATTCTGGGTTAACATGCTTGTTAAAGAGATGAAAGAAGTTTAGGAGAATAAAAGGCTACTAATTCATGAAAATGGCTTATGAAAACTTGTTCTTCTTGTTATCCACCATAATTAGTTTATATACAATAATACAACTTTATTTATTCTATACTGTATAAAAATGGTAAACACGAATTAACACCTCTTAGGTAGCTTAAACTAAAGGAAATGGCAAAAAAAAAAACAAAAAAAACAAAAAAGGAGACTGAAAGATACTGCTGCCAGGTAGATGTCACTTTGGGCAGTCCAGAATATAAACTGTAGTAATGACTAATAAGGAATATGGGACTATTTATTTTTAATTCTTATGCATAATCTATGAGCATTGAGAACTATAACTATGTTATGAATACTATAAAAATGCAACACATTTTTGATAGAAAAAGACAAAGCTACGAATAACCACTATCAGACTAACTTTTGTTTTTAAGAACTCCTAAGTACTGGAAATCATCATAAAACAATAATATCTGCTAAGTCTTATTAATATTTCTTAAACATTTTTGATTACTAATTAATGAGCAGTTTAGTAATGCAGATTCTTGTCCACCACTGCTGCCCCTGCTTCCTAATATTCCAAACAAATTTACTTGCTCTGGGTCTGATTTGTAGGTATGCATCCCTGGCGATTTTAACTTAAGAAGGCCCCCATCAACCTGTGAGAACACTGCCACTTCTGTGTTTGTGGTACCTGAATTAATTAGAACTCAAGAGCCTCAGCTTAAGTTTCCACAGTTGTAAAACACAGATAATATCGCAAATCCCCATTGTCAAGATTAAATTTTGCATTGTGAAAGCATAAATAACAGTTAACTACTACGTATATTAAATGAATGTTAGTTTCCCTTACCTTCTCTTCCTAACCCATGAGTGGATGCCACTCCCTATTATTCTATCATTAAATACCTCTCATGGGGGGGGGGGGGAGAGTGTGAGACATATTTTAGTAAAAACAAAACAAAACAAACTGCCCCAAAACACAAACAGCAATATTCACACTCCCAGCCCTATTCTATGTGGTTTATAAGTATCAAAACTTTTAATCTGATGTTAACCCTTTCATCACAAGTCTCATTCAAGAATCTTATCCCCACACAAAAAACTTCCCTTTATGAGAGGAAGGAGACAGAGAGAAAGGAAGAGAGACAGAGAGGTATTTTTGACAGAGTCTCTTAGTATTACTGTCCTCCTGGCACAACTTCCCCAGTAGCTTGGATTATAGGCATGCACAGCCATACCTGTATGTAAAGGATGACTTGGTAACCAAATCCACGGCTCAATAGAGGCATAGAATTCTATCTTAGTTCCCTTCAGTATTGTAAGAGTATTGTTCCTGGGGCCAGCACATGGTGTACTGGTTATGTTGCTGGACTCTCATGTAGTTGACTGTGGTTCAAGTACCAGATCCACCAACTTAAAACTCATGCTGAGCACGTGTGTGCAACATGCCCAAAATCCCAAGAGGAGACCGGAGGAAAAGGGGTTGTAGCATGGCCATCACCTCAGAGGGGTGATTTCTCGTTTTCTGTCTCTCTCTGTTTCTCTTGAGAGCACATGCACTCTATAGCAAAAATCTCTCTTTAAAAAACAAAAAAAGAATAATGTCTTTTATCTTCCTGCATCTAGTGTTGAAAAGAAGTTGTACGACAAAACTCATTCTCATTCTAAGAAATCTATACTCTCTTTACAATTCATGGGTCCAAGTGTAGATTAAAAAATAAAAATCTGACAACTGTCAAATTGCCTGCTTAAATCCGATTCCAAGGATTTCAGTCTTTCATTAATATTAGAAATTGTTTTTACATTATCTTATTGATATTTCCTACTATCTATCTGTTCCTCCTTGTTAAGCTTTTTAAAAGCATATCTTTCTCATTCTCTGTGATTCTGTGCTCCATGTTAGAAGAAATTCCTTAACTCAGTTTTTAATTTTACTAATTCACTCTCTGGTCGTGAATTTTACTTTCTTTCTTATTTTTTTAAGAGGTTTTGCTTGAGGGCAGGTGCGCTTACCAGAGAGAAACAGAGACAGAGACAGTGAAAGGGAAAATGAGAAATCACCCTCCAGGGGGGATACCCATGAGCCAATCCCTTCTCCTCTATTTTCCTATCAGTATCTTGAGCATGCACTCACTCATGTCCAGCGTGATTTTCAAGCCATCGGGTCTGAGACTCAAACCAAGGTGGGCCATGTGGGAGTCCAGTGATGTAATACCTATGCCATCTGCTAGCCCAATTTTTACTTTCTTAAATTTTAAGATTAAAATTTAAATTCCTGTTATCTCTAGTCCTTTTCTTTTTGTTACAAGAAAAAGAGAGTAAGAGAGAGAGAGAGAGGGTGAGAGAGAGACAGAGACAGGTACTTTTCACAGGGTTTTGCCATGTCTTAATGCTCCTGCCTCAGCCTCCTAATTTTTGGGGATTATAGACATGCACAATCACACCTTTCATATTTAAGCTGGCTCAGGAACTGAACCTGGGCCTCCCATATGGCTTTCAACCTCTCAAGTGGTGGCACTATTTGTGTTCCACAACAGCTGGGCCTCTGGTTCTTTTCAAATGGCTGTACTATCCTCTGACATGTCTCAAGATATTTCACATTTATTCAAATATTTAACATTTTTTATGTTCTTTCCTCCCTTAATATCCAAGTTATAAGCTGGTATCATTTTCTTTCACTAAAGAACTTTAACTTTTCTTTCTTTCTTTCTTTCTTTCTTTCTTTCTTTCTTTCTTTCTTTCTTTCTTTCTTTCTTTCTGTTTTTTTTATTTTAAGAGAGATTTTTGCCATCGGGTGCATGTGCTCATCAGAGAGACAGAAAGTGAGAAATCATCCTTCAGGGGGGCTGACCATGACAATTGCTTTTCTTCCATTTTCCTCTTGGGATTTTGGGTGCGCATGCACACGTGCTGCATGGGATTTAAGCCGCTAGGCCCAGGACTCGAACCTTGGCCGATTATGTGGGAGTCCAGCGATGTAACTATTATGCCACCTGCTGGTACTAAGATCTTTAATATTTATCCTGTGTTATGCTTACAGCAAATTCTTAGTTTTAGTTTTCTAAAATCGTTTCACTATATTTTCTTTTATGAGAGATTTTTCCACTAGTGCGCATGTGCTTGCTGGAGAGACACAGAGAGAAACAGAGAAATCATTCCCCAGGGGATGGCCACGCTGCAATCCCTTCCCTTCCATTCTCCTCTCAGGATACTGGGCAGGCACACACATGCACCCAGCATGAGTTTCAAGTTGCCGGATCTGGGACTTGAACTTGTTGGCAATGTAGGAGTCCAGTGATATAACTGCTAGGTCACTTGCTGGTCCTCACTCTATTTTTTTCTTTTTTGTTGTTGTTGTTATAGGGTGCGTGTGCTTGCCAGAGAGACAGAAAATGAGCAATCACTCTCCCAGGAAATGGCCATACTGCAATACCTTCTCCTCCTTTCTCCTCTTGGGATTTTTGGACTTGCACACACATGTGCCAGATCTGAGTTTAAGCCACCAGGTCCAGGACTCAAACTGCGTTTGACTACATCGGAGTCCAGCGACATAATCATTACGACATTTGCTGTTCTCCCTACTCTATTCTTAATGGATGCTTTCACAAGATAAATCTAGGTTGACAGGTTTCTTTTTGTTTTCTACACTTAAAAAAAATGTTATTACGAAAAATTGTTATGGACGCTAGAGCCAATGTGGAAAGAGTAGGGGAGGGAAGAGCATAGGAAAGAAAATTTGGGGAAAAAATGGAGCGGTAAGGCATTTGTGGGATGTAGATATGGTTTATTATTTGTTGATGAAGACGTGCGTATGTTCTCAACTGGGCTAGACTGAGGTGTGTGTCACGCTGAGTAAAGTCTCTTTACAATCTAAATGATGTGTAGCAATTACATGTATAAATAATAATTAAAATGAATAAATAAAATTATAAAAAATTTGAAAAATGATGATAATAGACAAAAAATGTTATTACGCTTTCTACTAGTCTTTGTTGTTTCTGGTGAGAGAAGTTAAAGGTAATTCAAATTGGTTTTCTCCTGTATCACTTTGCTCTATTTATAAGATTTTTCTTTTTATCACTGGCTTTTGAAAGTTTGACTACGATGGAACAGGCATGGTTTTCTTCATATTTATGCTGCTTACCTACTTGACTTTAAAGTTTTATATTTCATTAAATTTGGTCATTTCTATTCTTCTTTCAACTACGTTTTATGCCCCATTCTCTTTCTCTTCTTCAATTGTACTTAATGTTAAGAATTTCCAAAATTAGGGTCTGCAGGTGGTGTGGTGGTTAAGGTGCTGACTGCGGTTTGAGTCGTGGACCTGGCAGTCTGAAGATCACATCGGGCGCAAATCCTTGCATGCCCCAAATCCCCCAGGGGTAATTTCCCACTTTCCTTCTTGCTGTCTCTGTCTCTCTCTATGGCAACTGTATATGCCCTTTGGCAAAAACCTAAAGAAAAAAATGAAAAATTTCTCTCCCCCCCATTTTTTCTTGATTATAAGATGAATTAACATTTGACTCTCCTGTCAATTCCATCCAGTGAATTTTTTCATTTTTTTTATTTGACATGGCAGTCCCATTTATCAAGGAAAATTTATCCTTTCCACTATAATAGCAGTGGCAAAAGCTTAGCTAGCAGTTATTACTCTCTTGATCTTTAAGTTATATTCCCTACTTTCAATGCAGTGGACTGGTAAATAGGAAAAATATATCAAATGCTCCAAGTTTTGATACTAGAAATAATGCATGCAACATTCAAAAAAGGATCCTGAGGGCAGAGGCCATGACTTCTATACAATTACAATAGAATACATGAAGTTGGGTTTATAGTAGAAACTTTAGAAATACTTGAAGAATGAATTCCATTTCCATAA